ACTATGTGGAGTCTTCCAATTCATGAACACAGTATATCTCTTCATTTATTTAGGTCTTCTTTATTTCATCAGCATTTTAGTGGTATTTAGAATCCATATCCTATGCGTATTTCATTTGCACTTGGACCTATTTTAAGGTATCATGGGTTTTTTTTTTAATGCCGGTTTCTAGTTGTTTATGAGTAGTATATAAAAATATGATTAATTTTTGTGTGTTGACTTTGTATCCAATAACCTTACTAAACTGACTTTCACTTTTTTGTGTATTGAAATTTTCTACATAGAAAATCATGTTGCCTATGAATAGGGGCAATTTTATTTCTTCCTTTCCAATCTGTATGCCATTTATTTCTTTGTTTTACCTTATTGTATTCACTAGGACTTCCATTTATGACGCTGAATAAGAGTGATGAGAGGGAGTATCCTTGCTTGGTCCTGATCTTAGAGGGAAAATATTTCATCACTAACTATAATGTTAGCTATAGTTTTTTTGTTGATGCCCTTTATCTAGTTGATAAAGTTCCCTTTCATTCCTACTTTGATGAGAGTTTTTGTCATGCATGGATGTTGAATTTTTTCAAATGTTTTTTCTGCTTCAATGTATGTGATGATCATGTGATTTTTCTTCTTTAGACTGTTAATATGGTGGATTTTATTGATGAATTTTTCTATATTGAACCAGCCTGTGTTCTCAGACTAAACCCCACGTAGTTGTAGTTTATTATTCTTTTTATATATTACTTGATTCAAGTATATATTACTTGATTTTATATATATACTTGATTTATATATTACTTCTTCATAGTTAAGGATAATAACATTTGCCTTCTGTTATGTAACCATAATTAAGTGTTTCTTGTTTTGTCTCTAAAAGTTGAGTCCTGTAGAGGTAAGGTAACTTGCCTAAGTTATGCCGCTAATAAATGGTGGATCCAGGATCCCATCCAAGATGAGGGGACTCTGTTTTTATTTTTTTTTTATTTTATTTTTATTTTTGCGGTACGCGGGCCTCTCACTGTTGTGGCCTCTCCCGTTGTGGAGCACAGGCTCCGGACACGCAACGCAAGTGGCCATGGCTCACGGGCCGAGCCGCCCCGCGGCACGTGGGATCCTCCCGGACCGGGACACGAGCCCGTGTCCCCTGCATCGGCAGGCGGACTCCCAACCACTG